CCCCCCCCCCCCCCCCCCCCCCCCCCCCTTCCTCCTCACCCATCTCCTCATCGCTCAGCCCCTCCTGCAGGGTCTCCAAAGCCCTTTGGAAATAAGCGGCCGTTTCGGGCTCCAACCTCGGAGGGCCCCCCCGGGAGCCCCGGCCCCCCCGCAGCCCCATGGAGGAACGGCGATGTGGGGCAGGAACCACGCTGCAAGGCGCCGGAAGCAAGATGGCGGCCTCCGCATGCCTCGTTACAGCCCACAATGCCGCTCGACCGGATGCGACGCCATTGCTCGTGACAAAATGGCGCCTTCCATTTGCCACGTTATATCCCTCAATGCCCCTCTTCCGGAAGCGACGCCATTTTGCGCAATTAAAATGGCGTCCTTCATTTGCCTCATTATATCCCACAATTCCCTGCACCGGAAGCGACGCCATTCTGAGTGATTAAAATGGCGTCCTTCATGTGCCTCATTCTATCCCACGATCCCCCGTTCCGGAAGCGACGACATTGTTCCTGACAAAATGGCGCCTTCCATTTGCCACGTCATATCCCACAATGCAACGCTTCCGGAAGCGACGCCATTTCGCGCTTTTAAAATGGCGTCCTTCTTCTGACTCATTATATCCCACAATCCCCAGTCCCGGAAGCGACGCCATCTTCCGTGACTAAAATGGGGTCCTTTATTTGTCTCCCTACGATCTACAATACGCCTCGAAAAACGCCACGTCCCTCCTTATATTCCATAATCCCACACCCCTTGAAGCGATACCATTGCCCGTAGCCAAAATGGGGTCCTCTATATCTTACAAAGCACCTCGGAATATGCCAGGTGCCTCCTTATATCCCACAATCCCTCTTCCCCGGAAGCGACGCCATTCAGCATGGGAAAAATGGCGCTTTCCGCATGCCTCGCAATATCCCATAGCACCCTTCGAATAATGCCACTGCGCATGAGCAAAATGGCTTTCCCTACTTGCCTCGTTGTATCCCACAACACCCCGCCAGGGCAGCCACTGCGCATGCCCACAATGGCGCCCTCCTCACCCACCCGCGGCCCCGCCCCGTCACAACATGGCGCCCACCAGGCGTGGCGCTGCATCCCACAATGCCCCGCGCCCGCTCTCCGCCCGCATCCCGTCGTCCTCCGCGGCGCCGCTCGCTCCGCTCTCCCCGCTGCCGTCGCCATGGTGAGTCCGCAGCCCCCAGCGCCGCCATTTCCTCTTCGTCTGCCGCCGTTCCGACGCCCATCTCCCCCCGATGCATCCCGTGAAGCCCCCCCGTTCCCCCGAGCCTCTCCCTTTGTACCCCGGTGCCCGCATTTCCCCTCCCGCTGCCGCGAAGCCCCTCTCCTGCCTCCTGTTCCACCCCAGTTGCTCCCATCGCGGCCTGCCCTCCCCGTTATTTCCCTCTTGTTGCATCCCAGTGCCGTCCCCGTCCTTTTCATTTCTCAGTAATTCATCCCAACGCCCCCAGTTGCCTCCCAGTTCAGCTCCATCCCATCCCAGCGCCCCAAACTGCCTCCCGCTTCCTCCCAGTTCAGCTCCATTCCCCCCCAGCGCCCCCACACCCCTCCCATCACCTCCCATTCCGTCCCGCCGCCCTTCCATTTCCCTTCCATTGGATTCCAGCGCCTCCCCGCAGCCCCGCTTTATGGCCTCCCACCCATCCCCCATTCTCCCTTCATCCCTCCCAGCACGGCCGTTTGAAGGTCCGCCCTCCGGACGCGGCCCGCCGCCGCCAACGGGAGGAGAAACTCCGCCTCTTTCGTGCCAACATGGCGGCTCTCCTAGAAAAGGTACCGAGAGCCCGCTTCCGCCCTTTTCTGCCCTCAAGACCAACTTCCGCCCTTTTCTGATGCCATTTGCGCTGTCGTGTCCCCTCACTTCCGCCCTTCTTTAGTGCCATTTCCGTTGCCTTGTGCCCTCACTTCCGCCCTTGTTAGACGCCATTTTTTTCTGACTTTACTTCCGCCCTTTTAATGCCATTTCCGCTGCCAGTTGCCCTCACTTCCGCTTTTCATAGCCGCCATTTTCTTCACTCCACTTCCGCCTTTTTTGACGCCGTTTTCGTTGCCATGTTCCCTCACTTCCGCCCTTCTTTAACGCCATTTCCGCTAACTTTACTTCCGCCTCTCTCTGACGCCACTTTCGCCCGCTCGCTGCCCTACTTCCGGCTCAGGCGGGACGTTGCCATGACGACGCGGAGGTGCTGACGCTGACGGCGGCGGTGCTGGAGGCGAACCCGGATGTGGGAACGGCCTGGAACGTCCGCAGGGCGGCGCTGCTGAGAAAGGGCGGGGATTGGTGAGGGGGCGGGGCCGAGGGGTGGGCGGGACCAGGAGGCGGGCTGTGATTGGTCAAGGGGCGGGACCAGAGGCGGGCTGTGATTGGTGAGGGGGCGGGACCTGGAGGTGGGCGTGGTTTGGGGGTGGGCGGGGCTTTGGGGAACTTGGGGGGGCGTGGGGTTATGGGGTAATGCGAGGGGAAATGGGGGGAATGTGGGGGTCTGGGGGCACTGGGACGGGGTAGGGGGGCAATAGGGTGGGATGTGGGGGCACTGGGGTGGGATATAGGGGCAATAGGCTGGGATATGGGGGGTTGGGGGGCACTGGGATGGCAATAGGGTGGGATATGGGGGGACTGGGCTGTACTGGGGGCACTGGGATGGGGTCTATGGGGAGTGGGACGGGGTTTGGGGACGCTGGGATGGACTGGGAGGGGATTAGGGTGGGATATGGGGGTAATAGGGTGGGATGTGGGGGTGTGGGGGGCACTGGGGTTGATAGTGGTGCCTGCTGGTTGATACTGGTGCATACTGGTGTAGGGTCCCGGAGGAGCTGGGCTTTGTGGGGCGCTGCCTGGGGGTGAACCCCAAATCCTACGGCGCGTGGCACCACAGGGCATGGGTGCTGAGATCCCATCCCGACCCCAAAACCGAGTGCGGAGTCTGCGAGCGGCTGCTGGAGGCCGACCCCAGGAACTGTGAGATATTGGGGAGGGGTCCTGGGGGGGCAGGGGGGGGATTTGGGGTCCTGGAGGGGGTTATGGGGGGGTTTTGGGGTCCTGGGGGGGGTATGGGGG